AACATGAATAGGTGTTGTAACTGGGTCAGTTGTGACGTAGGACCTGAAGTTGTTATGCCTCGTTAGAAGTGTAATGTAGTTGTTACGGCAAATCCTAGAATAGTATAGGTAGTAGCAGTAACAAAAAGAATTAGGCATAGAGTTTACGACTTGGGGAAATATGAGTTTGTGATGTATAAATTAAGATGTAGAGGGTAGAGAGGTCTTAGATTTGTAGGAAAACAATGAACTAGCGCCTCCGAGAACCATTATCGGCCGTGGTACTCAAACTTTTCAACTACTGATTATGCTAACCACGTGAATCTTTACCTGGTTGTTAATACTCGTCTGCGTCTTGCTCTATCCGCCTTCCATACGAATTACCGGGTGAGCTAAGATGAGGGAGTCCGTACTTCTACCTGGGAGGCTTCACCATGTAGTGTTGCGCGACGTTTTGTTAGCTTAGCTATGCAGAGTGTTATTTGATAATATTGATATCAATGGCAGGTTGGTTAGGAATATAATTTGTGGGTATGTGATTATTATTAATGGCCCTATCTCAGTTCGAGGACATGTATGTCGCAATCAATATGAGATTTCTAGAAGTATGTTAGCTAACAAATCGTCTGTGGTATGTCCGGTATGAGTTGCAGCGAGCTGTGTTATGCTGTCTGTTGACATTCGGCTTTGTGGGGCCTAATGAACTGAGTGTTGACGAGTATCACGTTTACTACTTGCACTACTACAATTAGTGTGCCCTAGCAGAAGTTCAAAAGGCTATAGTTAATCTGAAACGAGGAAGGGCAGATGGATTGGCTCCAGAAATCTTTAAGGATGGTGGTCCAATTTTAGCGATTAGGTTGACTAATATTTTAGCTAAGATCTGGGAATTAGACTTTATCCCATCTGACTGGTCACAATCACTTATCGTCCCAATATATAAGAAAGGGTCAAAATCATCTTGTGACAACCACAGAGGGATTAGTTTAACTAATATAGTATGGAAAACACTAGCCTCGATAATTATCAGACGCCTAACTAAGACTGGTGAACTGCAAACACGAGAGAATCAAGCTGGCTTCAGACCTGGTCATGGCTGCATCGACCACATATTCACCATTCGTCAGGTTCTAGAACACAGGCATACTCATCGACGTCCGTTAATGGTGGTCTTTCTTGACTTAAAAGCAGCATTTGACTCCGTAGACCGCGAGATTCTGTGGCAGTGTCTGTCATCGAAAGGCGTACCTCAGAAGCACATAAACCTTATAAAGGCTCTTTACTTGAATACTACTAGTCGAGTGAGAGTTTATGGCGAACTGTCATCTACTTTTGCAACCTCAAGTGGTGTCAGTCAAGGCTGTCCACTTTCTCCATTTCTGTTTAACTTCATCATAGACCTATTGATGGAAATAACATTCTCGTCGACTGAATTCTCGGGTATTGATCTCCTTCCAGGTGGTCCACTTATCGATTTAGAATACGCAGATGACATAGTCCTGTCTTGTGAAGACGCTGACAAAATGCAGTCTTCTGGTAGCACTAAGCAACAATGCCAGAATGTTTGGGATGCGCTTCTCTCCCTTTAAATGCCTCAGGACTGGTCTGCGTCAACACCTGAACTAAGGATAGGGAGTGAAGTAGTCGAATGCGTTGCCAACTTCACTTATCTTGGAAGTCTGATCAGCCCTAATGGGTTGGTGTCTGACGAAATCTCAGCACGGATTCGAAAAGCTGGTTTGGCTTTTGCCAACTTACGTCACCTTTAGCGAAGGCGAGATATCCGTCTATCAATTAAAGGGCGAGTATACTGCGTGGCAGTCCGTTCTGTCTTACTTTACGGCAGCGAAACATGGCCTTAAAGAGTAGAAGACACCCATAAGCTACTAGTATTTGACCACAGATGCCTCAGAAATATTGCTGGGATCACGGGTAAGTAATAGTGAGGTTAAACGCAGGGTATTAGGGAATGATGTCAAATCAGTTGATGAGGTTATGAATCTTCATCGACTGAGATGGTTGGGCCACGTGTTACGTATGCCTGAACACCGATTACCACTACGTGCAATGCTATCCGGTTTTGGAAATGGTTGGAAGAGAATTAGGGGCGGCCAAACCAAAACGTGGCATCAGTGCTTGAAGTCACTAACCTCTAGTCTGAGCCATGTTGGTAGATGCAGACTACTTGGTTGGAGTCCGCGTGACTTTCGTAACCGATTGTTGGAGACTCTTGGTGACATGGCTCAGAATCGATCACAATGGCGTCGGTGTATACACTCTCTGTCTTCCCTTAAACTAAGAGATTAAAATCACTTCATATCTTTCTACGAACTAATTGTTTCTTCCTGTACTGTATCCTTATATGCAATCTTTCTCCTACATATTACCACCTTTTACCTAACCACTCCTATGAATCCGGTGTTCATCTTGCCGTGCTAATGAGGTATGGCAACCTGGACCGACGCATATATGTGCCTGGTCCTACGTTGTAGCTAACTAACTGATTTCCCTTTATCGAATGAGGATTAAAGAATTCCTAATGTGAAGCATAACTTCATGTCTTTATGTTTGGCTGAACTGCAGTATAGATGTCTCCACCCCTACCTACACTTGTTGCACTAGAAACGTATTGAGAACTACTGAGATTTGGACCTAGACTTTAACAAGCTAAGTGACAAAATGTAACTTAATATTGGATTTTCATTATACCTCGTATATATATATATATCTGAAGCAGAAATAATTAAGCAAACTGATTGAAATAAAAGACTACATAAGGACAGAAATAAGGTTGCAAAATTTCAGTGCTAACGCACAATTAGGTACATGACCAGGTGAAAGAAAGCCGGCCAAACCTATTTCCTACACGAAGATTGAGCTGATTTGTGTAATCCGCTGCGTGTAAGAAATGAATTCTGGCACTGTGCGGCTGGATAGTAGTTATTTAGCGACCTTCATATCGATTCTGTGGTCTGAATGCGATAAAATAGGTGATATCTCCACCAGCCCTACATGTGTAACGTGTTGACGAACCTATAATTTGTAATCTAATATTAATGGTTCCACAGGAACAGTTAACCTGGTAATATAAGGAGAGCGGGACTTGGTTGCATATTTTTGCTTAAAGAATGTTATTTTCTGACCGGAAATCAAAAGGCATGACCTTGCTGCAATTTATCTTAAATTAGTTTGGACTCGTACCTGGATGAACCACATTGTCAACGTTTTTAAGTCGAAGTGTATTTGTTTGTTTAAAAAGACGTCTATCGTTCATTCGTTTTCTTTTTTGTAAAATTACACAATATGTGGTGCATTCTCCATTGTAAATGAAACACTAGACGCCTGTTTCTCGCCATCTGAAATAACTACATTCAGACCAGCTTTTATAAAGCAGTTTGATTGATTAGTTTATTCCTGATTGTATGCATATCAGTTAAGTGTTTCAATCCCAGATGATGTGAGTTGTTATTGCACTTGCTCAAATCAATAACAAAATGAGGTGTCAGGGATAGATTCATTACACGGCCTATTTTCACGTCAACTATAGGAAGTACGATAATCTAGGGGAAATTTATTCACTTCAGAATAAACTTAAGTTTCGAAATCTACCACAATCTAGTTAAACTCCAGTCGGGTTAAAAATATGAGTTTTCGAAGTGTGATTTCGTCAGTCGAACTTGCGTCCAATCCAGTGGGTGATTTTTGGGACGGGACTTCTAGAGTTTATTTGATCGTTATAAATTATCGTCGAAATGAACAGCATCTACAATCTTTGAACAAATAACAATAACTATGTGTTCATTAGTCACCAACTTTGAGAACTGCTTTGGTAAAAATGCATGACCAGTGGGACTGAACCATGTCGGTTACACTACAGGAATTATCGATTGCAATGAATGATCGCAAAATACCACAATTTTGCTGAAGTTGAGAACATTAGAAGCCGACCGCGTACTATATGTATCTGTACACTACTATAAACTATAACCCAACGTACTCTGTTCACAATGAGTGGTGCTAGCAGGGACAGTCCTTTTGATATTAGCATTTTTGCTCAGTTAGCTTTATCTGACACATATTTTTATACCCAACTAATTAACTGCATTAAGCTGAAGTTACCAAGATTTGAAGCAGTGGGACCAGCACTTTTTCTACAAGTTGACGAGATCGTTATATAACCGGTTTTTTCGACAACCAATATCAGTTTCGATTAAATTTATATAGACTAGGATTATTCGGTAAAGATGCGATGATTGTCATACAGTGTTTGGACAGGTTACATGCGCATGCCGTGTAACTTTTTACGAAGCGTAATCTAAACTCTATGAGAGCATATGTGTATTAAAAACAAAATAATTAGTAACACATCGAAATTGTGAATCCAGAATAGGACAACCAAAACACTAACATGACTATTTATAAAGGCTATAGAGACTTTCAACTTAAGTCATAGAACTAAGAAATATCTGCAAAACACGAAACTTTTGATCTCTTACAGTTTTACCAAGAACATATTGCATTCTCAAATACATCGTTTAGCTACTGAAGTTTATATCTCAGTACAATAAAAATTTTTCCTGAAGTGGATTCTAGAAGTCGCAGAACTATTTTGTTTAGTATGACAAAAAACTTCTTAATGTCGATGTTTGTGGCTACAATGGAGGAGGATTATGGCAGACTGAGATAGATACACCCTTCGAAATTATACATAATGTGATAACCATTACGAAACTGCAGGAGAAGACGAAGTAAAACCACAAAACTTGATTATTACATATTACTGACCAAAATGGATAAGAAACCAAGCGTGAAACAAATTGAATTCAAAATATCATTTTAAGGAGTTTGTAATCAAAATTTTATGTAACCATACACCGAAGTAATCAGCCTGCGTGTGCACTCAACGAAAAAATATGCAGAAATTGAGGAAATTATAAATAACTGTATGTCACATCACGATGTGAAGCTATCGAATGACAGATCAGCCTAAACAGTAAGCATCTTGGAGCAAAAATAAGGCATTATTGTTGGTAATTAGGATAGGATGGAGGGTAATAATGAGTCTCATTAGGAGTCGGACATGCTTTTGATAAGATAGTTGGTGATGTTACGGGAACGGCAGCACTTGAATGCATTGAATTGTAGGAACCCGATACAAAAGTATTTTGAATTGGAGGACACGTGGGACGTGTCGAAGGATTCATACTTTGAGCTGGAGGAGGATACATGGGTGGATATGACATGCCCTGTTGGGAAAAACAAAGTGTAAAACAATACTTTAGAACACAAACAACATTGATACTTATATTGAACCTAGAAAATGGAAAAAGTGGCAGTCTCCATCAGCTAAATTAAGGAATAACTTGAGATCAATAAGACACTCCAAAAAATAATCTGGATGGTAATTATTTTCGTTGCTAGATATATTTAGTTTACCTAACGATTAAATAGATTGCAAGCAATGAGTTCTCATTTTATAACCATACGAGTAAAATCTCATTTCCATTTTATTATAAGGCGTGAATGGGATTGTATTGACATGTCTGTTATATTTAATAACCATGTTAAAATCCATTAATTAAATTACTGAATTAAACATTAGGCCGGATAGTTTATTTATCATATCAGCGATGAATAAATGTGAATAACGAACAATATTTCATCCAAAGGATAATATAAATCAGAGATCGGTACAAGATAATATATAGACAAATAGTGTGGCAAGAAAACTCACATGTGGAATCATGGGCGTGGACTGTATTGAACTTTGTGTCGTAGAATTTCTAGGAGAACCTGAAAGAGGCTGCATAATTGGTCGCTGTGGTGTCCCTAAACCAGTTGAAGGATCGCACGGTGTAAGTACAGGTGTAAACATGTTAGATGATGGATTTGGAGGAGTTACAAGGATACCCATAGGTCTATTAGTGTTTGGTAGTGTTCCAGTTTGACGAGCATAAGGACCCATATTTGGTGGCATGTTTGCCAAACCGGGAGACTGATAATGGACAAAAACGAACTTTTATAACTAATAATAAATGAATACGAAAATGTTATACGTTTAACTAGTAGTAAGGAATCTGAACTATATTTCTTTAAATCCTGAACTTTATTCAAAATGTCACTTTTGTTTAATTAGTTGAGGAAGTCTGTTTTTCTTAAACTGTATTAACAATTTAACTCATTTTCAGCTTGTCACTTTGATGTAAACCTTCTTTCGTTGAAGCCGTTAACAAAGACAATTCGAACCCTATTTAACTTCACTGATATTCAGTCCCAAGATCATTACAGAAGGGACTAGACAACCCACTGCAGAAAAATGGCTAATCATGGAAAGAAAAGAAAATCCGCTTTTTGAGTTGAAAGATCTTCGTATTAAGTTTGATGCTTCATGGTGAAAGGCGAGATGCTTACAAAGTCACGAGGCCGATGCCTCTTCAGGAATATAGAGCAACAACCAATATAAGAACAAGGATTATCTAAACAATGTGGGAGACAGGTAGAACTGTACAAATGATGAGAATAAGAAGATACAACCTTGTTCTGTTTGAAATAAATGAATTTTATTGGACATAGTATGGACAAAAAAGACTAATTTCAGGAGACATGCTGTTGTATTTCGGTCACAAAGAAGACCCCCACATACACAAAGAACTGAACTGATACCATCCAAAAAAGCACAAAAGCTTTATAGGATGGAAAACCTACGGCATCAGGATCATCATGACACCCTTCGAAACAGCAGCCAAGATGACAAAGACCATCTTTATGAGGAGATGCAGTCCATTCTATAGAAATTCCAAAGAAAACACCTGAACATTTTGATAGGACACTTGAACGTCAGGATCGGGATGTAAAATACCGAGTATGAAGACATTATGGAGTGACATGGACTGGGAGAAAGAAACCAGAATAGTCAGAAACTGGTTTACCTGTGCACTCTCAGCAAAATGCCTAAAGGCGCCGGCGATTTCCCCTACAAATGCATACATACAGCTAAATGGGTTTCACCGGACTAAACTATAGAAAATCAGCCCCCAAATGCCCTGGTATGGCCGAGAACGGGATGGGCTCGCCCTCCCTCTCGAAATACTCTCACACGGCCACGCTTATACAGCCTCTGCCAGGGAAGTCCTACTCACTGCCTTCTCGTGGCGGGGATGTTGTTTACGAAAATGAGAGGACGAAAAGCGAATGTCAGGCGCTTTACCTGGATCCAAAACCAATGCTGCATACGGGCTCCAGTATTCTGTGGGAACAAATGGCGTATGAACAAATTTATTTGTCACCGGCTACCATCAGACTGCATCTCCTCACGATACTCCACTGCCTTGTGGGTTAGACCTTTAGTTCAAAGGCTCGGGGTGTGGTCCCCTAAGAAAACCACCTGCTTCGGTCTGGGCACCCGAGCAGTATCACAGCTCACACACAATTATGATGAACTCTCTATATTTATGGAAAATACTCTTCTTGCTGCAATTAACAATCAAATGATTCACATTATTATTATTATTATTATTATTATTATTATCATTACTATTGTTATCATTATCTACTACGTCACTTATTCACCCTCTTTTATTCCTACTCTGTCTATACTTATTTTTTCGACTTATACAGCAGCTCGCCCATGGTGGAAAATCGACTTTATCTAACGTTCTGTAGTCACTTCCTGATTGAAAATTGTATGCTTCCACCGAATACGAGTACTGAAGCAGTTTTTCTGAGACCACGTACACGATCCAAACTGGCTGCCTTCAACGTTCGCACACTTATGCAGGTCGGACAACAGATAGGGCAGGCTATGTCTTTAGAAAGCCTTAATATCGAAGTTTGTTGTCTATCCGAGTACTACAAATTCGCTCTCCATCTGTCGCTTGAAAACGCTTGTTTTACGTGCGTTTATCCGGAGACGCTATGGCATCTTCGTCTGGTCTCGCTGACATTGATGTCGCACTAAGTGCTAGAGCTGAGGCAGCACTAATCGATTGGATCCCCATTAACAGTCGGTTATGTGCTGCTTAAGTGCTGGTGGTGGCGTGAGTGATGAGATCAATGCACGTATAGTGAAAACCAGAGCGGCTTATGCCAATCTGGGACATCTTCGGCGCCTTCGTGATGTTAGTCTGGCCGTAAAAGGCCGGATCTACAACGCGTCGGTGAGAGCAGTTTTGCTCTATGCTTGTGAAACCTGGCCTCTCCGAGTTGAGGACGTTAGACGACTCTCTGTGTTCGATCATCGCTGTCTCCGAAGGATTGCTGACATTCAGTGGCAACACCATGTTAGTAATGCAGAGGTTCGGCATGGTGTGTTCGGGCACAGAGACGATAATGCAATTGGTATCACCATCTTGAAACACCGACTTCGGTGGCTTGGACATGTTCTATGAATGTCGTCCCAGAGAATTCCACGTCGTGCATTATTTGCCTACTCTGGGACTGGTTGAAGAAAGCGGAGAGGTGGTCATTATATGACATGGTGTCGTGATATGAAAGTAATCTGCAAAGGACTGGCTTGTGTCGGTCCTTCACGACTCCCTGGTTGGAGTCCAAGAGATGGTGCAACACAGTGGCTAGAGACGTTATCAGATATGGCCCAGAATAGAAGTCAGTGGTGATCCTGCTGTAGCCATCTTTTACTTTATTCATAAAAAGTGGTTGTATCTTCCTTAACTGAAAGACTTCTTCTGATTGTTACTTTCGTTTCCCCAATTATTATTATTATTATTATTATTATTATTATTATTATTATTATTATTATTATTATTATTATTATTATTATTATTATTACGCTACCTTACCTTATTCTGTTCGTTATTGCTTTTTTTAACGCTCCCCACCTGTTTTCCCTCTCCTCTTCAAATTCCCATTGTTTTGTGTGGCGCATATATATTTGGTGCCCTCTTGTACCAATATTTATGTGTTCAAATAAATAAATAAATAGCTGATTCCATGTGTGTAAATAAAAAATTCAGTGGGTCCACTGAAGATGTAGGAACAAACAGGAGGGGTGACATAGCTTCAGATAACCACCTGTCGGCGACCAAGCTATAACTGAAGCTAAAGCAGCATCAGACAATTGCACAGGCAGCACTACATAAGTTTGACGCAACCTTCTTTTGAAATGTTTACAAGACCAGTGAATTCAAGATAGCTCCTCACGTTAATACGGCTATACGATAATGAGACTGGTTTGGATGACTGCGTTCATAAAACATCTAGATTGAATACTCGAAAGATCCGCTGTACAAAGACCAGACTACGTTACATCAGATACCTGCTTCACGACTATAATCAAGATAGCTCTACATAAGAAGTGTGAAGCCTTACAAGATCTAATCAAAGAGGAAAGTGCTGTGGAGAACAATTAGGATGGGAGCATTACAGCTGACAAGAGGAAATACATGGAAGACCTAGCAATGACAGGAGAAAAGGCTGCTAGAGAAGGAAGTGAAAGAGAACTACATGATGCAACCAGGAAGCCAGCACGAAAGTATAGTAGACCAGATCCACCAGTCAGGAACGAACGAGGAAAGTCAATTATGGACATTCAACAGCAAAGGAACCGGTGGGTAGAGCATTTTAAAGAGCTCCAGAATAGACTGGCTACATTGAACCCACCGGACACTGTTCTATCTCAAGGGGCCGCCGATTAGAGGACAGTGACTTATCGATCGGATCAAGGGATTCATAATCTTGATAGGCTATTCTGGTTCGTTGTACTCGACTAAGCTAACGCGATCAAGAAGTCTGGGTGAGGCGTAGAAAGTGTATTCTATAGGCAAACAGTAGATATCAAGTCAGGTCAAGCACACAAGCGTATTTATACAAATATTCAAAATCGATATTGTCATAGTAAAATGTTTTTAAACATTAATCAATAAGTTCATCAATCGACAGGCATTCAAATTGTTATATCCGGTGAAGATTAAATTACAGGTAACTTCCGAGGACAATTCATGGACTAATATTCTATAAATATTCTTATTGTATAACTACTCAACATTTACACTATGTGTATTTATATTCCTTTTATGATAAGCTTTATTTTGACCTATAATCTATTATGTTACGATTTACGGTTCTTAAGTTATGTTCAGTTTATTAACTACTGCCTCCCTCATTCACAGCCACTCTTTGGGCTTATTTGTGTACAAATATTATTTCCTATTTTATGGTATGTTGCGGTCTGTCTGATTGATATATAAACCGGGTATGTCTGAAATAAACGATCTGCTCTGATTTGGAAGCTGGTATTATGTTCTGGACTCAAGTGGAAGGGCTCGGAGGACATAGAACCAATAAGGACGCTAAACTGCCCATACCGGTTGGTCATTGGTTGGCCTAGTGTGAAGATTCGTATAAGTCGAACTCGGATTGGTAGATAAGTCGTGTGATAGAAAAACCAGACGTCAAGGTCATAACACAAATATTTAACATTTAATCGATAAGTTGATCGATAATATAAAATGACAGAATATGAGTTTTGGGGACAGAAGCAATACACACAGACCTCCCTATAAATGTTACTGCACCGACCAATTAAAGAAATCAGCAAAGCCACCAATCAGACAAGTCAATAATTACAAAGCAGTGGACCAGACAGCACACCAACTGAAGCACTGAAGTCAGATACAGTGGTAACTGCAAAGATGTTACACGTTCTTTTCTCAGAGTTGGGAGCAAGAACAAGTACCAATAAACCGGATACCTCCTCAATACATCAAGGGAAGGTGGGAGGACTGTAGACGCACCACACTACTTTCAGAACCAGACACAGTTTTCAACTGAGTGTTAATGGGTCGGATGAAAAACTCAGTAGACGCCCAACTTCCAAATCAACAAGCTGACTTGCATAAGGATTGATCATATACCGACCAAGTCGCAACATGCCAATCATTGTTAAGCAATCAATTAGACGAAACTCATCGCTACACACCAACTTCCTCCATTGTAAGAAGGCGTTCGACAGCATGGATAGAAAAACTTAATGGAATATTATTCGGCACTATGGTATCTTCATCATCACACGGAATTTATACGTCAGTCCAATTAGCCATATGCAATTGTGAACTACATGCTATGGCAGGGAACAGACCAGCTTCCAGAGCAACGGGAAATTAGGAAAATTAGCTGTAATTTGATACGACTCACATTGTTGAGATTTGCCAAACCACATCTTAAAGCGAGCCCAAAACTAACTACTCTCTTTTATTCTCTTCCTGCTAGCTGATGACTATATTATGACGACCTCTACATTTCAGAAACAGCACGCAATACAGTGAACACCTTGAACACAGCTAGATCATTTGGACAATACAGATAGCTTGACACCTTTACTCCGTACATAACAACAATCGCAGATTATAACAGTCAGTGTCGCTGCGGTTTCCGTAGTACTTGGTCTACATATTCAAAATGGTGAAAGCAAGAACCCGAAATACGACTGTGGGATGTGGAAAATTATGATGAGTATGAAAAATGTAATACTAAACATGTAATTATTCAGATAATATTTAGATTATAAAGATCAGATTACATCATGAAATAATTATTTTCGTCTAGTTAATTGTTTTATTTTAATGTTACTGATATTTTCCAAAATGTATCTCAAGCCAATATGAGTGTGATATGAAATGACCATTACTGATCTAAACATGTTTTGATTTTCTTTAATTTTATAGACTTATGCGCAAAATTGCATAATTGCAATATCTCGACGCTGATACTCCTTACGTGGTAAGACAATTATAAACACTTTAGCACCATGGTAAGAATAATTATGTAGCTGATACTAATAAACACAGCAGCCAAAAATGAGCTACACAGCGGAATTCGAAATTACGACAAACGTCGTGACTACTAAATCACCCTAGTTTGGATTTTCATTACGGACCCGTTAAAAGGAAATCTGACAGGTGATATAAGTTTCAAAACCGAGAATCCTTCTGTTTAATTGTTTACAAATTAAAATGAACGGTTTGATGTTCACAAAACACACTGAAATGACATACCCTGAAAGACGGAGTACTATGCTGTTGTAACATCGGAGTTGATGTGTTAGGCATCCTAAGAGTATCATTGCCATGAATTATAGGTTGTGCTGAGTTTTGAGGGGATATAGGTATTGATGGTTGTACTTGAGGTTGGGTGGGAAGATGGTTTTGATGTCCTGAAGGCTGTTGATAAAATGATGATATTATCTGACTATTTGGTGTTAACGGTTGACCCTGAGACGGTAGTATCGTAGTGGAGAGTGTGGAACTAATATTAGGCGCCGCCGATACTACCACTTCTGCATTAGAATGACTAAATTTAGTAGGTACTTTGTCAATTGTATCAAGCTTATTCTCAAACGGTGCTTGGAGATCTATAGGGTCGTGATCAGCAGATTTTTTAGTCGAATTTAGCCCCTCGTTGTCTAACAATCCAGCTGTTGAGAAAGTTGATTTGGAAACCATGTAATTTTCCTGAAATAGTTAGTAGTTTATTTTAGAATAAACAAAAAGTTACATTTTATCAAATGAGAACAACGTGCCTGATGCAAAAATGTACTGAAATATATTTGTTTGATCAGTAAGAAAATAAACCATCCTATGATGTAATAAGATTACAGGATGAAAATATGGGAAATAAAGGTCTGCAATCACACTATCTAGAAGAAAATCTTAACCATCGTTCCGCAAGTAAACAAGTTTACCTTATATTTTAAGGTAAATTTTACTCACACATTTGTGATGATGAACATCGAATATACTGTGTTTCGACTGTTATTTTCAGACAACTAAGAGCTTTTCTAAGTGCTGTTACCATGATAATTTTATCTCATTACTTGCTCTTCAGTGTTCTCTTTTGAATTTTTTCAACTCTTGTAATTAGGATGATCTAGTTGAAAAAGTCTTGTCAAATATTTATATAAAAATTAAAAGGAATATTAGTTTCACTAGTAATAGATTATCAAGCTGAAGTGTTTAAGACTGTCAATAGTCTTTAAAATATTATTTACTTACAGAAATACTTCTGAGTAGAATTCCTAACGGAAAAAGTAAATAAGCTGGGTAGACTGACAATCATAAAGTAGAGAGCACAACTGAATAAGTTGCATTAAAATAGTAAGGACAAACATAAAACCTAAGTGTATCGCAGAGAGACGGAACTAAGTGCAAGAATTCGAAACAACAATGTCAATCATGGTGGTAGATCGACAAAATAAAGTAGGAAATATTGGAACCATATTGGCTAAAGCGTTGAAGATTATAAGCAATGAAAGTATGCACATAACTGTAATCGATTTAGGATCCTGTTACGTAATAGTAATATTGGAAAGCAGGTAGGAACCAAGTAGAAAGCCTCTACCTCAATATACAGTTTGAATCAACTGTCGACGAATTCATGGACACTCAATGAATCTTAATCTATTTTTTTAAACTTTTTCCCAATTAACTGCTACACTAACCAACACATAACCTTGAAGGTGGTGAGTGGAATTATATTCGACGTACCATATTTACCTTACTGAGAAATAAATGATGAATCTATCTACTACAATTAATTCAATTCCTGACATTTAACTATTTGGAGACAATTTATGTGATTATGTTTGTGGTTTTAACCACACAAGATATCTGATAGATTAGTAGAGATTAACTCTGGTTCAACATTTGAACCCAGGCTTTGCCGCTTTTATGGGCACCTACATTGAAAATTACACTAGTATATCCTGAGAATATATTGGATCTAAAGATCATTATATGTAAAATATAATGGGTATATTCAAGGGACTAATATACCCGTCAAGAAATTTGCCATATATTGCTTGCGACAGGATCTACTTCAAAGTGACGACTTTCATTGATATTGAGGTGGGTTTTGGTAAAGTAAATAGGGTGAAGAACAACATATGTCAAAATTCTACTCATTATTTTAACTTAAGTTTAATTGTGTTGTGTGATTAGCTGGTAATTTCCGGTTACCCCGATCGACATGACCAGTGAAAGACTAATTTCGGGGTTTAGACGCAAGTTAATCACAATACAGAGAAGCACAGTCATGTGTCTTATGTGAATTGGACACCACGAAAATCATGCTAAAATCATTCTATCATCTACACGCACACAATATTTTGATTTCGAAATGTTATCTGAACTGTTGACTGATGACAAGTAGATGGGTGGATTTGGAGAAGAAATTGTAACATCTGTAGATCGGGCATTAGATAACGGATCGAATTCCTTGTTACTCTCCGGGTTGCATATTGACTGTGACAAAAGAGAAAAATAGAATCATTTTCTAAATTAGGCGTAGAAGGATATATTTTAGTTAACAACACTGTACAGATACATTAACGACTTAGGAATTGTATGAATACAAACGTGTTCTCACGTAAATCTTGTAAAACAATCAAATGGTTTGTTTAATGTTATTCAGACAGTAATATACGAAAACTGCACATTATTCAAGTTACATAAATGTAATCTTCAATACTACTTATTAAGACCTTCGATCAGAAAGCTGCAGCATCTAGATTTGATGAGGTTGTAACTTACAACGTTAACTATTTCTACTTATGCCCCGTGGTGGTTTATACGATATTTAACATTTGTTATTTTTGAATAGGTAGTCAGGAATTATATGAACTAAATGACCTATTTTATTACGTACCAATAAAATGATCACCATGACATTTCTCAACACATTTTGAATTCTATAAAATATTACCGCATCGATATGATATTGTTGTCAGCTTTTGTATTGTAAGGACGCCAAAATTCGTAAGTTACCACCTAAACCATACATACAATAGTTGATAGGATGGAACAGGAACAAAAGTAAAATTAATTTGCTTTTGTTTCTCGATAAGCTAATATACTACTAATTTGTATTCACTAAAACTTTGGTCTGTGGGACTTTTGTGTAGTCCTGACAGTAAGCTATTTTTTGACCTATCGGCTATTGTTATCACTTTTGCCGCTCATAGACTACAATCAATCAACTAAGAATTTATTAGTTTTGGATTGCAAATGTCCTAGTTATGCATGCATTAAAACTTATTATTTAGAGTAGTCTTGATATCTCACCTATACATATTATCGTGAGTTATGGATGTACACAATGAAATTGTTCGCAACCATTTGATCGGTTTTCTGGTATTCTGACTGTGGGTTTAGAAAAGTGGACATGCGGACCCTATCGAAAGCATCAAAAATATAGTAATGGGAATGTGATGCAGACAAGGGACAACGGCAAGTAAGTATAAATGGCAGTTTAGACTCATATAAGTTTCAGTAAATTGCTACCAAGTGTTAATCATGATCAATCAAATTATATCCAATTGAAAAATAACAATTTTTCTGAGTGGAAAATGGTTGGCAGATAATACTTACGTCTGTTTTGTTTATTATTTCAAGTCGATTACAGTTAGTGAAAGCTATATCCATGGAATTGTTGGCAGAAAACGTTTTTTGAATACGATCAGCTACGTTTAGGATGTGGTTACCAAGCCGTTGAAGTTCATAAACTAAAGAAAACGTATCCCCTGATTCGAGTTTTTTAGCTTCACCGTCTTTTCTGTTTTTAAATGGAGCAGTACATTGTAATATCTCAGGTTTGTTTACAACTATGGAAATCGAAAAAAAATCATTAACAAAACCTATCAAGAATGAATGAATTTAGACTGGAGAAGTTCGAGCCTTCTATTTAGAAATCTGAATTAATGTCAAGGTCTGGTGACTGAAATAGTTAGCCCAGTTTAGGTGTGATTCAATCAATAAAGTTTACTCATTTATTTACGAGCTATCTACAAAAGTGTAACAACCACATAAAGGCAACCAGCAGTCTTTTCTAAATTATGATGACAGAGTATTAGCTGCTTTTAAACTAACGGCACATCCACACAAAGAATATTTTTGTTGAGTGAAATCCAAAAACTTGAGCCGAAACCAGCAACTTCTATAAGTTAGGCGTAGCATACTTTCATTTAAACCAAGAAACAAAGATATCTAAGCATAAAACCTATCTTTACGCCCAAGAAATCTTATACTGAAATAGATGAAATGTGGCTTACGCAGAAAGCGCGTTTCTTATGAAATAATATATTTCTTTCACAGAAATATCAGACATTGATGTCCATTTTTCTGAATAATTGGGAAAGAAAAGGATATTGGCTGAAAGCATAACGGAAGGTGAACTTCAACTTTTAACTGGAAGACGAACACCGTAGAAGTTTGAAAGTGTATGGTTTAGCATTTATTTTTAGCTTATCCAGACAGTGGATATACCAAACAGTCATAAGGGGGAATCAAATGCATTTGACGAAAAATGATTTTAAATGATAGAAAAAACTCCGACTGGTGTTACATGCTTCGTATGTAACTTCGTATGTAACCAGTCCGATTCTGAAATTAAACATTTGAACGATACTACTAGCATATCAGTAGTAATTAAGCCGTATTTGTCGGACAACTATCGTAGCTGGCAATACATTTGGAATGCTATATTTAAAGTGCAGCTTTTGCACTAAGAAATAGCAGCACTTTCAAAGCGGAAGTCATTCAAAAATGGAAAATCGTAGATTACTGATTTCATGGTTTTACAAGAACGAGAAATGTTACTTCTTTCAACCTTTCGTTTACACAGAAACTTGTGCCGGCAGCAAATACGAATTCAATATAATAACGATATCGCAGAATTTTAGAGCCCATAAAATTTATGTTTGAATATTATGTAAAGGTTTTGAAATGCGTAAAATATTTAGGAGGCATAAATGAGTGTTGTTTATTTAACTGACTTGTATCATTGCCCCACGCTATACTGATTGTTACTCGTCGAAGCTATTTGAGCTTCATGCAAGAGCTAAAATGTCCAGCAGTGTCATCCTATTACCAACCAAATTAGTGTCCCTACCTGTAAGGTAAGATTACTTTATAATATGGTGACATAGAACGCACTATATCTTAAGTTAACGCTATTACCATCCACTTTCTTTAGAATCGTCTTGGGAAGTTCACTGGTAGAAGTAGGAAGTGACAAATACAAAGGCCACACGTAACTTTTCAATTGGTTTCGAATAGTGAATAACATCTCTCAGACACCTGTCTTCGTAAGACAGTCCCAGCGGTACTTTCTCCTTGGAACTTGATGTAACTCTGGAGTCCGGGAATGAGCACTGACTTTTATCAAATGTTACGATACTTCACTAGAAAACACAAAATTCAGACCCAATTAATCAATAAAAATTAATTGATCTTCCTGTTTATTTTTCATTCCTTCTGAATATTTAAATCTAATAGGACATGGACAATTGTCAATGGAAAGCCAGTCACTTAACACAGAGCTTCACAATGTAATGTAGTGTTTATTCTAACTAAACTGAATAGGTGATGCTTCATGATCCTTGGACAAGCGTTTATGTGGTGTCTGAATGAACTAATGATACCTTGGTACTTGTTGAATGCTTGATTTCGAATTCCAAATACAGTACATGCGTTTGTGTTTGTGTCTTACTTCTTAATTCAATTGTGTTATTTCTGGGAATCTTAATTTGTACTATAATTCAAAACATTATAGTTTATCAAACATCCTCTCAGTCAACAGATGGAGTAAAACACGGTATTTTTGAATTCCAGACAAACATGTATTTTGTTTAGGTCATATAAGGATGTGGGCGTTAAACATACCAGCTTGAGATGTCAAGTGTTTCGAAACTACTGAGATGAATTTAATATCTGAGGATAGCTTCGGGGAAGCAACTAATTGGTATAAAAACAAATGGCTATGAGGACTATAGGGGTAAAAAGCGCACACGACGGATATATTACATGTTATTTTGATTGCACACGTTAGCTGTTGCATAATAAGCTGCGAACGGCAATACTCTTGTTTTTCCTCTTCACGGTTATAACAGTTAAAATATTTGGTTACTTAAACTAAAATAGGTAGAGGGGAGTTTGTCCCTTAACTGAATGACTGAAAAATGAATGACTTCCCAACTAAACCACCGTATATTGTTAACTAGTGTTAGTCAGTTATTTCCACGATCCCCTATCACTTCACAAAAATGCAGATTTTTTTCAACTCTATTGCTTTGTCATGAACGAAGCACAGTATATTTACTTACCTAAAATCGTTAAGCAATACTTTCGTGCAAATAAACAAAAAACAGGAAGGTCAGTTAAAGTTTACAAATACTCAAGTCTTGGACGTAGTACCCAAAAGTGCTTAAAATATACGGGCACTCTCATGAAAACATAAATGCACTGAAATTCGTATATGAAAAACCACTTTTCTCTTCTCAAGTTAACGTCCGCCTAGACGCCTACAAATGAGAAAGAAATCAACGACTGTGTAGGCTTTAAACGATAACATTAAGTCAGGAACTCAAATCTGAGTGGACATCACCCCAAATAATGATGAAAATTACGTATCAACATGATGATAATTGAGTCTCGTCTGAAAATCACACTTTTTCTACGAAATCTGAAAGAAGTCGACATTTTTGGATGGGTTGTATGTATTAGAATGATTAGACTAAGTACTATATTAATTCCTTCTAAGGAAAATAACTCCTTTTTCCGGCAAGTCTCTTATCACAGCTATTAATTCTGTTATAACGCAACTGATTTAATAACAGTGGAGACATTTAATCATTTTCATAGAATATAAAGCAGACTTTAAGATACAGAAACAGCTATCCTGTTGCGACTACAACAGAAATTCGATGTATCTGGGTCCTTTCTAGATCACAAAGTTTAGATCAAAAGAATGATGAGTGGTTCAAAACGAGCACTGTGTGGCAGAATTGTAAGGAAACAAGGTTACTGTGACGTAGTTATCTCATGCGTTTAGCTGAATTACATCGGGCATAAGCTGAGACCTTTTCAAACTATTTTAGCGAAGTCTACTCTACGTTCATTGTTACAAATACTTGTCCCAATAACACCGAGATACCAGTCATAGAATCTGGACATGTGACTGGGGAAACTGTTCTTTCACTGGTAACTAACCTCAAACCTTGTAAGATACCGGGCGCTGATGGGTTACATCCACTGCTGCTCTCATCTCTTGCGGGCATTATTCCACGACCGCTCGCGACACTCTTCAACAAATCCCTTTCACCCGCCCAACTCCCTAGAGATTGGAAAGACCCTATGGTCAGTCCCATATTTAAGGATGGTCAGAGACATCGTATCTAACTACCGACCTGTCAGTCTAACCAGCATATTCGTTAAGTTACCTGAAAAGATAATTCGGGTTAAGTTGCTAAGTCACATAGATTCACACAATGTTAGCTCCTGAGCAACATGGGTTTCGTAACAAGCGTTCATGCTTGACTAACTTACTTATTGCGAGAGAGGACTGGACAGCAGCCCTAGATAACCGTCTGTTTGTCGATGTGATATTCATAGATTTTAGCAAGGCATTTGACGAGGTTTCACACTTAGGTCTTATGCACAAGCTCTCGAACTTCGGAATAATAGGTTCTGTACAGGGGTAGATAGGAAATTTCTTATGTGACCGCAAACAGAGAGTGAGGGTCAACGGAACGCTATCCGATTGGAAGCCAGTCAAAAGTGGTGTACCCCAAAGCATCATCTTAGGCCCTCTGCTCTTACTTCTCTACGTTAACGAGTTACCGCTGTTGCTTAGGTCGTCGACATTTTTGTTTGCGAATGACGTAAAAATCTGGGGAACAATGAAAAGTGGGGCCGATTATTTTCACCTCCAAGCTGACTTAGACGAATTGGTTAGATGAGCTTGAGGTTGGGGCTTAGGAATCAATTCTAGGAAAAGTGTGCTAATGCACATCGGTCACTGCAATAGTTACTATCATACTACTGATGGTAGACCTCTTCCACGCATTCAAGAATGTAGACTTGGGAGTAATAATAAGTCGTGGCTTGAAAACAACTACGGATTGCAACGCAGATGCTGTCAAAGGTTCTCGTGAGTTATGGTCACTTCGCCGAGCATTCAAATGCTTTGACGAGGAAATGTCTCGAATTTTATATACCACCTATGTAAGACCACATTTAGAGTACTGTATCTAAGCACCTGGCCCATGTCTGGTAAAGGATACCGACTCACTTGAGCGTGTATGAACAAAATTAGTGAAGGGTCTTTTTCAACTCCTTTGCGATGAGCGTTTAAAACGCCTAAACCTCTTCCCTTGTCGTATCGCAGGACTCGAGGTGACCTTATACTGGCATTTCGTATCTTTGATCATGATTTGGGTGTTAATATGTCCTATTTTTCCGCTCCCTCCAGCACTAATAATCTCCGAGGTCATAGCAAGAAGATTCACAAACCGCGATCTAATAAACTTAAAGTTGGGTCCCATTTTTCTCATCGAATAGTCGATGACTGGAACGCCCTACCCAAAAAAGTGGTATTAGCCCCATCAGTGAATATTTTCAAAGAAACGCTGAACCTTCATTGGAAGGCAATCTGTCAGGATTAACACAGGTTCACCAACCTACTATCCTTGTTACTGAAGACTAATGGGGTCCTGGTCCTGGGAACCCTTATGTATGATGGTCTTATTTTTCAGAAGAATGTGAAAACCGGAGCTTTAAGACCAATATGTCAGTTGTTAAGGTAACTTTGACCAGAATGAAACGTACCAAAGACTTTAATCTGTAGCACCTTGCTGGACTGTATGGCGAGGGAGAGCTCAGATTCATCCTCAATCGTTATAAAGTCCCCATCTGAAGGGTGAACATGAGAAGTTTGCACTCACCTTCGTCCTTATATTTTACCAATAATTCATCTTCCTTTGTAATATACTGTTTGAAGACACGTTGCATCATTAAAATAAGTTCATCGTAAGTTATTTCCTCATTATGTATTGGGATTCGTCGCAAGTCATGTCCTAGTTGAGCTTTGATAATAAGTTTCCCAGAGAGATCCATGCTGAAACACTGCAGCCTAATTTCGACCTTAATCGTGGTAATGATACGTCAGCAGCCAATACCTGACCTTAATGATCCAGACAGGTGCGGCCACATGTCCAATACTCAATGTACTGTCACATCCAATAATCCATGTTATCTTGTGAAACTGTATAATGTAAAGCCAATTATGTCATCAAATTCACCTTTTTCTTTCAACACAGGAAACAGTCAAATAAAAATGTGAGAAAATCTGAAATCGTTGATAAAGTTAGTGACTTTCTTTTTGTATGGTTGAGGATGTCACATGTATTCAGAGACGGAGTACTATCCAGATCACCTACCAGGCTGGACCTCTTCTACTTTACATTGTAGAATATCGAAATCTCGGTAGTTTAACGAAACCGTTCTTCTCGATTGCGATTAAGGCGGATTGATAAATTACATACCATAGACAGGCACATGCGGCAGTGGTCCAACTTATATCACATTTGGGTACGCTTTGCTATGCATCCCTATCAACTGTTGGCCGGCTTAGACCAAACGCTTCTCAATATATCGAAAGCCATTCAACTATTTCTTCAAACCCCTTCATTTCTGACTTCTGATTTGACTGACTTGGTATACTTCCATTATAGGGTGTTGCTGGTAAAGGTGTCGTAGAACTCTGAGTACCTGTGGCCTTTTTACAGCCCTCAACTTTCAAACAGATTTTTTCTTTCACTGAGTCGCATAAAGCTCTTAGATGTCAGGGACATTTACGGATTCACAACTCTGTGTTCCGTAACACGTCAACAGTTGAAAATCACAAAGCCCGTTAAACTGGAGGCCCATAATGCGAGAGTTAAGACATATATTTGGATAAAGTCTAACTTAACTAGTTCTCATAAGAGATGCCCAGCACGATGTAGACAAACATGACTTGATCTGGATGCTTGACGGAAAATCCTAATTTAGGGGTCTACTCAGTAAAACTAATGAGGTCCGCATCAATGTTAAAGACTAATAAAATTTTATTTTTGTGATTTATTTGATGGCACAGTTCACCTCCTTCCTATTGGGGTAATGAGAACCTAAAGGCGTGATCATCCATATGTCCCGCGGGCTTGTTGTTAGTAAATACTTTTGTGGTAAGCAAACCTTAAGGAAAAACCACCATGTATACCATATGGCAGCGGAAAAGATTACATGCACAGAACGGTTGATTTTGCGGTTTCTTATTCAAAAATGTGTGTATGAGAGTACTTTAAAATATTATATTTTTTATTTATTAACACGGTAAGATTTAAAAGTTCGACCACTTAGCCGCAGAACGAGAGGTAAATGAACAAGGCTCGAAAATGTCTTTCACGCGGCAGTCATTTAGCTGTCTTGGGAGCCTCATTATGTTGATTTAATATATGTATCAGGAATAAAGTTAATCTTGTTCTGGGGAAGTGCATATGCATTAGTTTTCATTAACCTCCACTAATTTCCGTCTACGATTCAATTTCCAGAGAATAGTCTTACAAGATAAGCATGCATTCAGGTTAGTGGATCATTTGGCTACGGTTTGGCGTAACTCTCTTAACAGTGTGACGACATAATCTCTGAATTTCAATTACGGTTATTATTGGCTTAATTTTAATATTATGACCAATATTGATTAAGTCTAAAAAAATAATATACATACTCCAACATATTTCATTAGTCGTGGTATGACAGTTCAATCAATGTTATTTTTGGGCATCCATTATGCAGTTTCACAAGATAACATGGATTATTGGATGTGACAGTACATTGAGTATTGGACATGTGGCCGCACCTGTCTGGATCATTAAGGTCAGGTATTGGCTGCTGACGTATCATTACCACGATTAAGGTCGAAATTAGGCTGCAGTGTTTCAGCATGGATCTCTCTGGGAAACTTATTATCAAAGCTCAACTAGGACATGACTTGCGACGAATCCCAATACATAATGAGGAAATAACTTACGATGAACTTATTTTAATGATGCAACGTGTCTTCAAACAGTATATTACAAAGGAAGATGAATTATTGGTAAAATATAAGGACGAAGGTGAGTGCAAACTTCTCATGTTCACCCTTCAGATGGGGACTTTATAACGATTGAGGATGAATCTGAGCTCTCCCTCGCCATACAGTCCAGCAAGGTGCTACAGATTAAAGTCTTTGGTACGTTTCATTCTGGTCAAAGTTACCTTAACAACTGACATATTGGTCTTAAAGCTCCGGTTTTCACATTCTTCTGAAAAATAAGACCATCATACATAAGGGTTCCCAGGACCAGGACCCCATTAGTCTTCAGTAACAAGGATAGTAGGTTGGTGAACCTGTGTTAATCCTGACAGATTGCCTTCCAATGAAGGTTCAGCGTTTCTTTGAAAATATTCACTGATGGGGCTAATACCACTTTTTTGGGTAGGGCGTTCCAGTCATCGACTATTCGATGAGAAAAATGGGACCCAACTTTAAGTTTATTAGATCGCGGTTTGTGAATCTTCTTGCTATGACCTCGGAGATTATTAGTGCTGGAGGGAGCGGAAAAATAGGACATATTAACACCCAAATCATGATCAAAGATACGAAATGCCAGTATAAGGTCACCTCGAGTCCTGCGATACGACAAGGGAAGAGGTTTAGGCGTTTTAAACGCTCATCGCAAAGGAGTTGAAAAAGACCCTTCACTAATTTTGTTCATACACGCTCAAGTGAGTCGGTATCCTTTACCAGACATGGGCCAGGTGCTTAGATACAGTACTCTAAATGTGGTCTTACATAGGTGGTATATAAAATTCGAGACATTTCCTCGTCAAAGCATTTGAATGCTCGGCGAAGTGACCATAACTCACGAGAACCTTTGACAGCATCTGCGTTGCAATCCGTAGTTGTTTTCAAGCCACGACTTATTATTACTCCCAAGTCTACATTCTTGAATGCGTGGAAGAGGTCTACCATCAGTAGTATGATAGTAACTATTGCAGTGACCGATGTGCATTAGCACACTTTTCCTAGAATTGATTCCTAAGCCCCAACCTCAAGCTCATCTAACCAATTCGTCTAAGTCAGCTTGGAGGTGAAAATAATCGGCCCCACTTTTCATTGTTCCCCAGATTTTTACGTCATTCGCAAACAAAAATGTCGACGACCTAAGCAACAGCGGTAACTCGTTAACGTAGAGAAGTAAGAGCAGAGGGCCTAAGATGATGCTTTGGGGTACACCACTTTTGACTGGCTTCCAATCGGATAGCGTTCCGTTGACCCTCACTCTCTGTTTGCGGTCACATAAGAAATTTCCTATCTACCCCTGTACAGAACCTATTATTCCGAAGTTCGAGAGCTTGTGCATAAGACCTAAGTGTGAAACCTCGTCAAATGCCTTGCTAAAATCTATGAATATCACATCGACAAACAGACGGTTATCTAGGGCTGCTGTCCAGTCCTCTCTCGCAATAAGTAAGTTAGTCAAGCATGAACGCTTGTTACGAAACCCATGTTGCTCAGGAGCTAACATTGTGTGAATCTATGTGACTTAGCAACTTAACCCGAATTATCTTTTCAGGTAACTTAACGAATATGCTGGTTAGACTGACAGGTCGGTAGTTAGATACGATGTCTCTGACCATCCTTAAATATGGGACTGACCATAGGGTCTTTCCAATCTCTAGGGAGTTGGGCGGGTGAAAGGGATTTGTTGAAGAGTGTCGCGAGCGGTCGTGGAATAATGCCCGCAAGAGATGAGAGCAGCAGTGGATGTAACCCATCAGCGCCCGGTATCTTACAAGGTTTGAGGTTAGTTACCAGTGAAAGAACAGTTTCCCCAGTCACATGTCCAGATTCTATGACTGGTATCTCGGTGTTATTGGGACAAGTATTTGTAACAATGAACGTAGAGTAGACTTCGCTAAAATAGTTTGAAAAGGTCTCAGCTTATGCCCGATGTAATTCAGCTAAACGCATGAGATAACTACGTCACAGTAACCTTGTTTCCTTACAATTCTGCCACACAGTGCTCGTTTTGAACCACTCATCATTCTTTTGATCTAAACTTTGTGATCTAGAAAGGACCCAGATACATCGAATTTCTGTTGTAGTCGCAACAGGATAGCTGTTTCTGTATCTTAAAGTCTGCTTTATATTCTATGAAAATGATTAAATGTCTCCACTGTTATTAAATCAGTTGCGTTATAACAGAATTAATAGCTGTGATAAGAGACTTGCCGGAAAAAGGAGTTATTTTCCTTAGAAGGAATTAATATAGTACTTAGTCTAATCATTCTAATACATACAACCCATCCAAAAATGTCGACTTCTTTCAGATTTCGTAGAAAAAGTGTGATTTTCAGACGAGACTCAATTATCATCATGTTGATACGTAATTTTCATCATTATTTGGGGTGATGTCCACTCAGATTTGAGTTCCTGACTTAATGTTATCGTTTAAAGCCTACACAGTCGTTGATTTCTTTCTCATTTGTAGGCGTCTAGGCGGACGTTAACTTGAGAAGAGAAAAGTGGTTTTTCATATACGAATTTCAGTGCATTTATGTTTTCATGAGAGTGCCCGTATATTTTAAGCACTTTTGGGTACTACGTCCAAGACTTGAGTATTTGTAAACTTTAACTGACCTTCCTGTTTTTTGTTTATTTGCACGAAAGTATTGCTTAACGATTTTAGGTAAGTAAATATACTGTGCTTCGTTCATGACAAAGCAATAGAGTTGAAAAAAATCTGCATTTTTGTGAAGTGATAGGGGATCGTGGAAATAACTGACTAACACTAGTTAACAATATACGGTGGTTTAGTTGGGAAGTCATTCATTTTTCAGTCATTCAGTTAAGGGACAAACTCCCCTCTACCTATTTTAGTTTAAGTAACCAAATATTTTAACTGTTATAACCGTGAAGAGGAAAAACAAGAGTATTGCCGTTCGCAGCTTATTATGCAACAGCTAACGTGTGCAATCAAAATAACATGTAATATATCCGTCGTGTGCGCTTTTTACCCCTATAGTCCTCA